CTTATCCTTAGTGTTTCACTATGGTTGTAGAGAGTAGTTTGAAGCAATGTAAGCTGTGATTTATCGGGAATATGTGGATGTTGCTAGGCTAGTAGCAGTGCAGTGCCTGTTTCTTTTATCAACCACAAAAACACTTTAAAATACTATCTTACCCTTCATATCAGTCCTCAATATTGAGGGAGTTCAAAGCCAGCTGTTCTCTTATCCTGGAAGTAAAGACAAAAGAGAAGTCTGGATGTCGATCTTACTGATTTTTGTCCATCCTTTCTGTAAATTGACTTATTCTCTATTATCTTTTGACAACCATTATGTACTTTTTATCTGCAACAAGCTTAGAGCATCTCTGAGCACAGAAGAACATGAATTCTGAGGTGCAGGGCTGCTTCCTCTTGGTTTCATAGGGATTGCACAGGATTTATCTTTCGACTCCTAGACAGTCCAGAGTAAGGAACTTCTCATTTCATCTTACTCTGCACTTTCTTTCTCCCTGCAACATTGAGTTAAGGTTGCTACTCAGGCATTGCCTCATTTAATGTATCCTTCAAGCTGATATAGCCAAATGTCTTTTCTCTTATGTCTCTTACATAACAACATTCCTACATCAACTTTACACTTCTCTTTGATGGATAAACGCCAGAAAGAACAAATATCTCTTCATCAGCTCGACCACATCTGAAGAAGGAAGTTTTAAAGGGAAGCTATAGTCAAAGCTGCTACAAACCAAAGCACAACTCACTGCTAGTTTAGATACAAAGCTACATTATTGACAGAAGTATTAAAGATAGAGCTGGGAGCTGTTCAAACTCTATTCAGCCCCACATTATTCCATATGTACAAAATGGGGCTTATAAATTGGGTGCCATGGCCACTCTTTTACAGCTTTACTTATAAAAATCATTGCAGTTTTGTTCACTGGTCACTGCTGCTGCCATGGAATTGTTGCAGTAGTTTGGATTACTTGGGATTATAGTTGGGGATGTTTTAATGGCATCACTTTGTTACTATATCATCTCATTTAATTCCATTACTTGGTAACAAGTCATTAAAATAACAGTATATGGGTTTTGCTGGATGAATATGATAATCCTCCCTCCCTGTCTTCTTTCACAGTTATCCTCATCCTATAAATTTTGATGTGCTTGAGTTTTTATCTACCTTGATATATTTGGTTTGCCCTGCTAATGTTCATGTCTTCACCCACATAGTTAACCTGTCCTGGCCTTCAGGTAGGAGGAGCATGTGTGAAAGGATAGAAGACACCCAGCTCTGATCTATCAGTTCTTGACTGTTGGGTGCAGCCTCTGCTTTTGAAATTCTTCTCTGGGAAAGCTGAGATTGTTTAAGGGGTGATCCCCTTTGTGATATTGCTTCCACATTTGCTGCCCTACCTCTGGATCTCAACATCTCCATTTTATTCTTCTGTAAAACTGCTTTGAAATTTGCTGCATCTTCTTACCAGAAGCACCCAGATTTAGGCTGATAGTGTTATCCATGGATTTGGCAGTGGAAAATCAGGTGACAGATGCCTGTAAGACTCACTAAATGACTCTGGAGATCAACTTAGAGAAGGCAAAAAAAAAAGTTTTGACCAAAGTTTTACCGATATGTAGGGATCATCTGAACATTAAGTGAGCAAACAGGAATGGTAGGAAAGTCATGCTACGAGGAAAGGCCTTGAGCAGCATTTTTTACAAATGAACATGGACATTACTAAGAGGAAGGAGATGGGTCTTGGTTCCCAGAGTAGCATGATAAAACTGCCTTAAACCCCCTTATGGGAAGCAGAGAGTTAAGATTGCTGTTGTGTGTAATATTTCAAATCATGAAGTCATTAGTGTAATTCATCCCGAGTTCTGTATTGGTATCTTTAACAAATGCTTAGTTTTATTTATTTTTAGGAGGAAGGACAGGTATACTGAAAAAAGAAGACTCTTGCCCCAGAACTCATTCATTCCTGTTGTAGGAAAAAATAAATTATTTCCTTTCAGAAGACTTGATCTATGCAGTAACATGGTCACACATTTATTTTGTCACTTGGATTAAGTTTCTACAACAGGGCTATGCTCATAAGGATGTAAGTTCCTGGCATTTTTCCAGTTATCAATACTGAAATATTAGTGATCAAGCGTTTACTGAATGCCATTCCTCAAATGCAGGGGCTCCACAGCATCTTGTTGCATTCATGGAATTCATTTGTTTGCATTATCTGGCTAACTGGTTCTTTTGTATTGCCAAGGTGATGAACAGATTTGACATTTAGCTGATTACTTCACCAAAATTAAACAGAAAACAGGGCAGCCATCCAAAGTTCCTTTCAGTGCGAAACCTAATTATAAAAATGCTTTGAGCAGCAATTTCTTTTTGGATGTTAAAGTGCTTTTATTAGATTGTTCCCCTGTCATTTTAAAATTTATTGCTAGACACTTATAAATGGGGTTGCCTGTTGAAGTAGAATTATTTTATTTTCTATATTTAAGATGAGACGAAAAAATGTATGGAGCAAATTTTAGCCTGAATTTGTTAGTATTTTACATGTTTCTGAAAAGGAAGGAGACTAACTACTAGATTTCACAGACCCAAACTATGTCATTTATCTTTGTGTTGAATAAAATCCTATCTGCTATTTTTATTCACAATTCAGCAACACACAGTTTCCAAAAACTATTACTTAGCAAATAATGAAATCAAATTTGTGATTTAAAATTTGAGTACAGCCCTTTATTTTTAGAAGCTTGTATTATTAATGTAGATTTGCACAATTACTGGTGATAGAAAAATCTAATGATGTTCTTGTACCTGTCTTTCATAAGCCATTACCTGCTCTCAAACAGCATAAAAGTACTCTTAAATCATTTCTCAGGATCATTGAATATAAGTTGGCCAAGTGAATTTTAAGCAGTAAATTTAGAGCTGAAGACTGAAGTGGGTCTTAGAATAAGTTTCTTGTGAAGTATTTTTTTAATGTCTTGGAGTATGTTTAAGTTTTCATACTGCCTGTTATTAACATTCTTTGGATCTCAAACAAGCTGTGATCTGGGGAGATTTCAAAATGATAAAATTGTGGGGTTTTGCATATGATATTGTCTAGCACACTTTGGGTACTAAATCATCTTGTGAGGACATGGATTAATTCTTGACACTGAGATCTATTAATATACCTTGAAGCCCAGTGAATTATGTGAATCTGCTGCTTCAAGCTGGAGAATTCTGCCATAACTAGGAGGAAATATTTTGCTGTAGGTAGATTAATGTTGAAAGCTTGTCAAGAAAAAGTTTAGCACTGAAAATTTCTTCTTTCTCTTTTTGCCAGTACTAGAGCTTCTATGATAAATACCATTTGTGATCTGAGGAAAAATAGAGATACAATTTCTTTTATATTTATCTGTGTTGCTAGAGTTTCAATGATATAGTCTGTTCCCTATTAAAAACTTCATCCTAGTGAATAATCTTACAGAGAGTATTTTTTACTCCTATCTGAGAGCTTTGCTTAAAATATGCAAAGTATGCTTAAAATACAGTAAATGTCAGTGATTATCAAAAAATTTAATTCATTGCAGGACGTGTAATTAAGATAACTCAACAAATGTTAACATGTCTATGTTAACAAATAGAAACAAGGAGAAAAAGAGATTTGCTAAATACTAATTTGCTAAATATTTTTTGAAGATAATGGATAAGACTTAACATGGACATTGTGAAGAAGCTTTGAATTGACAGAACGCAGTCTGAGCGACAGAGCTAAGAGCAAGTGTACAACACAAATGTGGGTTTGTTTTTTGTTTGAGTGCTGAAGTACATTTCAGTACTAAGCCTTCTTAACTCCTCTTTGTATTTCTAAAGTGTCCAGAGCTGAGGGTGTTTAGCCTGGAGAAAAGGAGGCTCAGGGGAGACCTTAACATTCTCTGCAGCTCAGTGAAAGGAGGGTGGAGCAAGGTGGTAGCCAGCACAGGTCAAGAGGAAACGGCCTCAAGCTGCACCAGGGAAGGCTCAGGCTGGACATCAGGAAAAATTCTTCATGGAAAGGATTGTCAAGCTTTAGAATGTACTGCCCAAGGGAGGTGGTGCAGTCACCATGACTGCCACAGCACTGAGTGCCACGTCTGGTGTTCAGCTTTTGGTTGGACCCAGTGATCTTGGAGGTCTTTCACATCCTAAATGATCCTGTGTTCTAACTACTTGCTTGTCAAGGTGATAAGTTGTTCAGGGCTATGTTATATGGGGAGAAACACATTGCTGTAGATCTGGAAATTCACACATTGTGCCCCTGTACACAGAGAACACTCCCTTGCTGCGTTTTGCTGCTAACAATGGTCCCAATGGATGTGCCCTGTTGCTGTCTTTCATTGTGCCAGTGGGTCTCCTATAATTTAAACCTATATGTGTGTGTATGATCTGTCTGCCTGAACTGTGTAAGGACACTTCAAACACTCTACAAGCATAAACTTGTCATTTCTCATTTTTCTGTTTCCCTTTGAAGTAAGCAAGGGATGTGTGGACCTGGCTTTAATAGAAGTGCTGTGCAAGTTCATCAGGAGCACCTTTGATCCTTTGTTTGTTTTGTGACAATTTCAGGGAAAAGTGGCAAAAAAGTCTATTTAGACCTTAGTGCACACTCGGGTTTGAGTCTTGTAGTAGAGCCTGAGGCCTAGTATGAGGCAGAGTAGCAATTAACATTTGCTTATCACAGCTTATTCTTGAATTTATGTTTAACTTTAGATGTCTGTCAGAAAAAACTTTGCTGGACCAAAATCAATTTCACAGAACCATTAAGTGAGAAGGAACTGCAAGACTTCTGGCAGGACAACAAACTCATATGCTGAACTCATTTGTATTTGCTAAACTGCAACTTCCTGCAACACAAAGGCCACCAAGTTTAAGTTATTTCTGAAAATAAATTGAGTAGTTTAGTCAACGCCAAGAAAAGACAAATGGAAAACCATCTTTGGTTGCAAAAGTGCTTCCTACAGTATTTCTAACTTCTACCCATTGTTTCTCCCTAGGTTGATGGGATCCTGTGCCTGGCTGACATCCTCACTGACACCAGCCATTCTGAAGCTACTCATGCAGAAGCAGCAGCAGTAATTGCCCAGATCACATCTCCACATCTCACATTCACTCAGCATCTCAGCAGCTTTCTGGAAAATATGGAAGAAATCGTGACAGCACTTGTCAGTAAGTTTACTACAGGACTTCTGAGTCCATTAAAAATAGCAGGTTAGGGTATGACTCTTCCATTAGAAATATTCCCTAAATAATGTTTACCATACTTTCCTTAACAAATAAAATAACAATTTTAAATTCTGAGACAGAAAATTCTGCAGTTACATAATATTTTTTACTCCAGGCTACATGTGAATAGATTTATGCATATTTGTAAAAATAATATCTGTGTGAAAATCTGTCTTAAGAGCCTCAAGAAAGACTCAGCAAAGCATCTTCTCATCTGATTTTTGTCTGTAAAAGAGGTATATTGAGAACTGCTAATCTTTATGTTGTATTTTCCAATTTGCTAGAACTCAAACTCACCACTACATCTGCATTCGTATGGTAATTCAGAGGAAAAGTAAAGTGTCATGTAATTTATTGGTATTGTTACAAGAAAATAAAAGATCTGTCTTTCTTGTCTAGGCCCCTGATCCATGGTAAAATGAGACAAAGGTAACAGCAAGATTTTCCTTAACCTGGGTCAGTGAGAATAATTTAGAAAAACAAGATGACATTTCTCATTGCTAAAGAGAGGAATATCTTATTTCTGGCACTGTGCTCTCTCCCTCTCAAATACCAGAAACTTTCATTCAAGCATTTTCATTTCTCTAGTCTGGAAATTCGGTTTCCCAGAGCTCTCCATCAGAATGAACTCTTTGGGTCTTCTAGTTTGATTTCTCATGTATAATAAATCAGTACATTTGGAAATTTTTCTAGTGAGCCCAGTGGTTACAGTTAAACTGCAGCACTTCCATTTGAATGCATGATTTTGTGGGGTTTGTTTTTAAGAAGGAAAAAAGTGTAGTAGGAGTGTGTGAGGATTCTGTGGTGGCAGGGTATTATCTGAGGTGTATTTAGGCATTCTCCAAAAGGCCCAAACACAACCAGTGATGCAGAACTCAAGGGAACAATTTATTCCTGATGTCCAGCAAAAAATGGAGAAACTTGTGCCCTGAATCCAGCAGGTGGAACTAACCTGTGCTGAGCTTGGTTATGTTGTAGACAGTGGCATCTGACCTGGTTTTTTTTAGATTATTTCTTGGTTATTATAGTGTACCACAGTCAAGGGCCAATCTGAACAGCCTATCCAGAAGGCATTAGCTGGTGGATCATTTCCTCAGTTGCTGCTGTTTAAGTTCCACAGGAATTTTAGTGGCACATATTCTGCCCAAGAAATGTAAGCATTAAAAATAGAACATGTATAACTTTGCAAGAGCTATTTCAGTAATCACACACCAGTTTCCTTGTGATATTTATAACTCAGTAATTGATTACAGTAGTATTTAATTTTTAAACTATGCAGAAATCCCATTTCTAGGTGATTCACATCTTAGTTAAAGAACATATGTACAAGGGATTAAAAGATAGATGTCTCTTCAACACTTCTTATTGAAGTTGAAAAATATGCAGGATGATTTTTGACTACAGAGAATTAGATTTAGGGATAAGCAACATGTATATGTACTTTGTTGTAAAGAAGAAGATGTATAATAGAATTATTCTCATACAGATAGCTTCTCATTATTATTCTCATACTGTTAGCTTTCTGCCTCCTGTATTTAATTTTATTTAGTTATATTGAGCTTTATTTCGAACAACAGTGAAATATTCCCAGTAGAATGGTGTACTAGGTAGAGCATATCATTCATCAGAGGTTGTAGTGAGGTGGATGTTGGTCTCTTCTTCCAAGTAAAAGGTGATAGAACAAGAGTAAATGGCCTCAAGTTTTGCCAGGTAAAATTACTCTATGGAAAGGGTTAAGTGATGGAAAACTCTGCCCAGACTCTGCTTGAGTCGCCATCCCTGGAGGTAATTAAAAGCTGTGTTGAGTTGGGCACATGGTTTGGTGGTGGACTGGGCAGTGCTGGGTTTGGTTGGAGCCAATGATCTTAAAAGACTTTTCCATCCTACACCACTCTATGATGCTATGTAATTGACAAAATTAAGTTTATATTTTTTGTTTCCTTTTTTTATCTCCATGTTTATGAACTTGATATTGGCTAATAAGATCACTACTTCAAGTTGCAGATGTTTAAATATTGCCTTTAAATGCTGCAATGAAGGAATGACTTTTATTCAGCTTATTTTCTGCATTCCTAGAACTGTGCCAAGAAGCCTCATCAGGTGAAGTTTTCCTGCTGGCTTCAGCAGCTCTTGCCAATATTACTTTCTTTGATACCATGGCTTGTGAAATATTGCTCCAGTTAAATGCAATGAAGATTCTCCTAGCAGCATGCTCAGACAAACGCATAGTGGATACTCCGTATTCCAGGGATCAGGTGAGGAATTTCTCTGCAAGCCACAGTCACATTTGTGTAAAAGCCAAAAGATTTCAGCACCGTGTCCGTTTTGATGTTGCCAAACCTAAGTTTCTTTCATATGACATCTTTAATGTGATTTTCAAAAAATAATAAAAAAAAAGTTGCACTTCCATTTATCTAAGATAGCAGAATTTATTGTTTTTCATCATGAGTGTGGACAGAGACCCAGACAGGTTGTGGAGGGATTCAAAACTTGACTGGACAGAGCTTTGAAGCAAAGATATGCATGGAGCCTAAATATGCAGTTGTCAGTTCAAAGATGAATTAGCTCCAAAAGCTGAATAAGGACCTGATCCCCAGCCCACTGACGTCGTTGGGCTTTGGACCAAGTCCTGTCTACCTGGTAGATGGTTTGCAAATTTTTATTGGCAAATATTGCTAATGTACTTTTGCCTTTCCCTTTCCTTCTCACCACTATTTTTAATTTTTAATTTTTTTTTTAGTAAAGGGACACAGAATACTAAAGGTCTATGGTAATGCACAGATTATTTAATGGTAGACTTGGGATCTTCACTGCCACAGAAGGTTTTTTTCACCATTAACCAGGAGCCAGGCTTTGGAGATTAAGGCCCAGTGGACCCTAGAAACTAATTATTGGTGTTCTAGAGGGGTGACTAGGACTGTTTTAGATTATGTTAGTAGCACTTACTAATTTTTCAGCTCAGGACTGTGTATAAAAGATAGAATTAAGCTATAATTACTTAGTGCCCTTTAGGCAGAGGTATCAGCTGTGGTGTTGACATGGCTGTCTACTATCACATATGTAAAATCCTTCACATTCTCTTTTTTTCAGTCTTCCTGCATGCTCTCATGGTTTTGATTTCTTTATTTCTTTATGCCCTCATCTGAATTCTGCTGTCAGCTGTGAATTTGCAGTTTTCTCTTTGGGTAGCACAGCAAGCCCCTTCTTTTTATGAGGAAGGCAGACATTGAAAGAAATACATAAGGCTTTTTTTAGGTGACAGGCTAGTTCCAGGCCTTTTGCAGCTTGCAAGCTGCAAGTTCATCTCACCAGCTAGCTGAACAGCAAACTGAATGGCTTTCTTCCAAGAGCTGAGGAGATTTCATCCCCCATAACACTTCACCTTCCTCCTCAGAATGAAAAAGTAGAGCAGAAAGGGTGATGCTCTCTGTGGCATGCTGCAGGAAGCTTCTGAGATGACTCCTTGGCTCCTGCAGCAGTGGGAACTACAAAATAATATATAAAATTGTATATAAAATATAGAACTATATAAATATATATATATATACACTGAGGTGGAATCTGAGTGCTGCTCATCTTGTCTTTAAGAGCTGCCAGTCAAGCAGTTTTGGTAATTAAATAGCCTTAAGAGAAGGCTTCCTTCAAGTTCCTGAACAAGTGTGTGACTGAATTGCTCCCCTTGTTTCAGTCTTGTATTTGTGGGGTGGGGATGGTGTCTGCCAATTACAGCAGTCTTATGGAATATTTTGCCTTTTAATTTGCTCTGTGCAAAGTTGCAATGAGGAAAATACACTCAGCTGAAAAGAAAAACAGCACTACAATATTATATTTTATAAGGGCATTATAAATTGCCATTTTGGTTTTTGACTGTAAATCCTTCTAGGTAAGTAATGTAGTCAATATCTTTTTCCAATCTATATAATATTATGTCCCAGACAATAGACATTTGCCTAGGGAGATTTACATTAAAGATGAGTAGGTTTGAAAATTTTTAGATTAAAGATTTTATTTTGGATTATGCAACAAATGTTAAATGTATTTTCATGGACTAGTGTCCATTCTGAATGATCAAGTCATGTGTGCCAGTGAAACAGATAGTTTGGAGTTGACTTATACTAAGGGTTGAAACAGTTAAACAAAGTAAGATGATTAATAAAAGATAAAACAAAATATGGTCTGAATAATATAAAATTTTATAAAAGAGCCCCTCAGACTTAAATGCTCTGTTTTTCATACAAAATTTTAATTTAAGTAACACAACTACTTATAGAAAACAACCTAAAATTTCTAAATATATTATTACTTTAGCATTAATGCTGATTTAAGAAAATTCTATTTTGGTAGACTGAATTGTGCTTTACTATGAGCCAAAACTGGGAAGAAGACAGCTGAAATGCAGAGAAGGAACACTGAACTTTGTTTTCCTTTGTGCCATTGTATCTCATCTTAAATTCATACAATGACTTTCTATACAGGACATAGAATTACTATTAGTTATCACTCTTTGATGGTAGAAATAAATAACATTGTGCCCAGGTGTTGGATATTGGGTAGATTGTGTACTGGCTGCAAAAACTATTTTACTGCTCAAGGACCTCTAAAATTATTTTGCCTTTTGACTTCAGGAAAGTCTTTTTGTCCAAATGATAAAATAACCTTTCCCATCATCGCTATCCAAAAACCAATCTCTTTCTTCTTTCATTTCCCAGGCTGTGTTAGATTAGGTCAGGAAAGAAATCTAGAACTGAGAGCTGAACTTATTGATGAACAAGATTATAGTTGTCCATTTTATAGAAGCATGTGACTGTTTCCACAGCCAGCAACATTATACTGAGATTCCTTAGTTTTGTAACAAAATGCATTGTATAAGAACGATCATCAAGCAGTATTTTCCAGATTCCTTAGTCCTCAGTTTTGGGTCAAAAAGAATATCAATGTCCTACATTCTGTTTCTTTCTGCAGACAGCTGTTTTCTGAAGAGCAGGTTTTTTACTTCAAAAAAGCATCAAGATATCCTTTCAGAAGGGTTCATGCCTAAATTTAGCAGTGTAGTATAAGCAGTGTTAATGGAGTTTAAAATCTGTCAGAAGAGGGGTTTAGCCAAACTCCTTATTCAGGATCTTCTTGACTTTAGCCATCATCTTAGACTCAACATAGAAAAATATGAAATATGTGTGTTTGGGTACACGATGTTTATGTATGACAAATTTTTTCTCTCTGCATTCCCACCTGTCTCTTCAGTGCTGTTAGTATTCTCACCTTACCTGTGAAGTTGTGGAGGTATAGCCTAACACCTTTGATCTTCTCTTATACAGGCAGACAAAGAATTAATGTGCAGTGAACACATCCATTTTAAAGTGGTTATGCCTAAGTCTAAAATCAGTGAATTATGTTTCAAAACAGTTTAAGGTGGAGAAAGACTTTTAAGCTAGAAGGAAAAATTGGAAATGGTTGCTGTTATTTTTTTTTCCTAATAAATTCTTTCCTGTTTGTAGTTGGGAGATGCTGCTGGGTTTGACACTGATATCTTCTGTGTCATTTAAGCTTTTAAATCCTTAATACCATTCTTCCTCTAGGTTTCTCTAGATTCTTTTCTCTGCTCTTCACCTTTTTTCCTTATCAGGCATTTGTGTTTGTTTTTACTGCCTTCCCTCACTTTTCCCCCCCGCCTTAAATGAAGATTGTAGTGTCAAAAGGAGATTTGAGACAGATGTTACTTTAATACAAAGAAGTTTTCATTTTTAAATGTTGCTGAATCCCCCGTGAAAGATTTTGAGAGTAATGTTTTTAATGAGAAGGGTATTAACAGTTCTTTAAGATTTCCTTTGAAAATCCTTCTCTGTATGGAAGAATCTTGCAGTACTACATCTCAGTCTGAGTTTCTTGAATACTGGGGAGTTTACTAACATGGCCTTTTAAAAGGGTATCAGCACTGTTTTCTTGCACAGGTCTCTGTTAACATCCTGCTCTGACATTAGTGCCATGATCATTAGATATGTGGTTGGAATTCCCTCTGAGAAGCCTGACTGTGCACTGTGGTTGATAAACTGTACATTAAAACTGTGGGATCCTTTCCAGTATCGACTAGATCACACTGAGAAAACATGATTTCAAGTAATATAGCTAGAAAGAGAACTGATAAATTTAAAAATTAAGTTATTTTTAAAAGCTTAATAAATCAAGAGAGAAACATGACTGCTAGGAACAGATGCAAAAATGAAAATTATGCCAAAGTCACCTGACTATCTGAATTTTAACCACGCCATTATATTAATGGTATTCCAATTCGTTTCCTATGTAAGATTGTAATAATTTTCCCGATGTCTTTTTTTTTTTTCTTTTTAACTGCTTATCTCTGTTTTTTCATGGACATGTGACCAGCATAACTAATTACCAGTACTGACTGGCATTATATGGTCAGTGGTATGGATAGTTGTATTTCAGGGGTCCAAAACTGACTGTCTTAAACACCAAAGCTTTTTGAGGCAAATTCCTGTTTAGTTACAATTCTGCCTTTCATATTTTAGATTCTGTGTGGGATAAGACAATGTGCTCCCACTTGCAGTGCAAGGGGTTCAGTTGGAAGAATAAAACCTCAACTCAGTCGAAAAACTAACTTGTGTTGAAAGGCTAATTTGTGCTCTGCTCTGGGGAGATCAGATCTCTTGGGTGCCTTTGGCTGGTTGAGTCTGTTTCAAAACATGAGAAGCTTTTTAACACCTTGAAGGAAGTCTGAGAGAAAGTTATTCTTTCCCTCACCACAGGTTTTAACCTGAAATACAGAAAACTGTGGCCACTAGCTCAATCACTCATTTAGTCATAAGCCCTGGTTTATGGGATGTGTTCTTTCACAATGGGACCCATACAGGGGGCATGTCCTTTGTTCTCATTTAAAACAAATCATGTGAGAACCTGGCTATTCTGCCTATTCCTTATCTAGATTGGTCAGCAATAGGAAGTAAAGTAAATAAAAATGTAGTAAAAACTTCCTTCATTCCAAAATGTAAATTTCCTACAGCTTTAGTCTCTGTTGCTGTGCCTCAGCATGCCAAAAATACAGTTCCCTGGCACAGTCTCAGAATAAACCTAGCATTTGAAGCAGATTCTGTCTCCAACCACTGTTATTATTTTGGGGGGATGTTAGTTGCTTCTGCTCATCTAGGCATATTTGTTTTCTGTTTTCAGGAAGAAAAACTAAATTCCCAATCACAAAAATGGCTATCAGAAGAAATTTGAGTTATTTTCTGGTTTTATG